ACCTTTGACATGGTTGTACAGGTCGCTGAGTATGTGTTTGAGTACTTCTGATCAATTCAGATAACTCTAGCATGTTGTTAGAACTATGACTCATTCCATATCCTATGTATTCATTTGATATCATTGCAATAGGTTATGTTTTGATTGTTATCATCTTTTATTTTGTTGTTAGATTTAGACATTCATCTCTTTCAATGACGCGATTATAATACATTTAAAACTTCTAAAACAGTATCTGGGATACAATATAGGTAATATTTTACGAAATAGTGTATTCTGCAACCAAACAATCTCTTAATTTTCAAAACTGGTTAACCTATTGAAAAACTCACTAAAAAACAAAGTCGTATTGCTTAATTTGTGTGAAATTGGCATCTTTCTTATTGGAAATAGATACAATATTATGATGAATACCTCCGTCCTCCAAGTATCTGGGGTATCTGTGGTGCAGCAACATCCTGGTGACCCGCACCAGCCCTTCAAGCTGCTCCTGGTGGTAATATGCATTGTAGTCTGACAACCTGGAACAAATGAATCACAAAAAATATAAGAAGTAGGTAGGTATCAATTGTATTCTTGTGATTTTATGTTGTCAATGCTTTTCTTTTTTTGATTATTTACTTCAATCTATAGAAACTTTGATATTTCCTTGAATAACAGGCTTGCAACGACCGAAATCTAGCATCAAATAGGTTGCTTGCCGAATTCCATCACTTCACAATTTTTTTTGAGCTTTTGAAGTGCCCAGAACATAACTTGTAGTGAAATAGTGCAAGTGCATCTTAGCCAATAATGTTTGGCAAATACATATTTAGTATTTACTTGCTCTGTTTCGCAGGCTACGATTGAACCGCCTTAACCAAGGTGGTACATATTCCGTAAGTCGCAGGTTCAATTCCTGCTTGTGGGGAAAAGTAAGCTTTTCGAAAAATTTATACCTTACACGGGAAGTGTTTTATGGTATTCAATCCTACTAGCATGTCAAAGTATTTGATTTCAGACACAGACTAAGGGCTATTTCTATTCCTGGTCTACATCTGTAATATTATTCATTGAGGTTGCAGGTAAAGGAAATGCTCTAGCAAAAATACCTAAAAATTCTGATAAGGAACTGAACTATACCTAGTGCTTGACTTACTACATACTATAGTAATCACGATTTGCCTCCTTATCTGTATATTTAATTTAGGTACTATTATTCACTTCAAGTTTACTTGTTCATCGAGTGGTTCAAGTGTAAAATGGACTTTAAATGATTGTAAATTCATAATTTAAAATCAACTGTTACATTGCACTAGATGTTGTATAATATGTATACATAATACAAAGGATGTCATGCATGCTTGCATATTATGAATGAAATAGTTAAAAAATAGCTCAGTAGTAATTGTTTTTGCATTTTTCATTGGTGTGTAAATAGGTGCCAAACCAAGGCAATGGTTGTTTTAAGTGAAACCAAAATAATATAATTTAATACATTCTTTCATATTAACTATGGGACGGGTATACTCCGCTTTACCCAACTCAGTTCGTATCAAAATGTATTTAGAAAATAAATTGCAGCAGTATTTATAATTATTTAAAACAGCTTCTAGGTGTAACATGGCAGTGATTTGAAACAAATTATAATAATCCTGTAAATGGTTTTAAGAAAATTTAGCAGACTCCAGTCAAGTAAAGTAGGGTATGACTGTAGAATATGCATGAAACATGTCTATACCAAAATGTTTACATCTGGGTTAAGAAGTTTGACCCTTTTTAAGCTTAACAGAAAATTCATATGCCATATTCAAAAACCTATAATTCTATCACAATTCACACTTTCCAATGTTCTTATCCAATATTAATTATGTTCCAACGTAACACTGATAACAATGCCATAAAAAGATAAGCAGAAAATATTGAGAATCATTAATCTGCTAAATGTAGTGTATAGTTTTTAAAACTGAAACCTACTAGGGATTACTTCTTTATGTTCTTTATAAAAACTATAAAACATATGAATTGTAGTCAAATGAAGTATTCTGAGCTGCACTGAAATCTTGCTAAACCATGCCATTAATTAGACAAAATTAACCACATTAAACACATTACATAGACAGCTTGATCTGTATGTATCTTAGTATGTATGTGTATCATGAGGTCAGAGTAAACCTACTTTGAGTCAAGTGTGTATGGGTCCTTAACATTGCCCATTGAAGAACAAACAAACATACACCTACATCCCTTGTGGGGTAGGCAGAGTGTAAAGCTATGTTAAGCCAGCACCACACGATAATGATAAATAAAACTCACTAACCTGAACATGTGAGCCAGCCAGCGTGTTGTTTCACTGGCAATGTGAGCACCCAAACGGGCGGCGTGACCGCGCTCGAGTCTCCCAAATAACGCGGATATACTGTGAGACAGGATCGCGGCGCGCGTCACAGCGTCCGTGGGCAGCAACGGCGGCTCCACGCTCTCGCAGCTAGGGTCCGTCTTCAGCACCAGCTCCTCCAAAACCTTCAGAATATCCCCCATCGACGTCTCGTCCGGCTCGAAGAACCCAGCACTGATTTTCCGTGTTTCCTGCTTCGGCTCCGCGTCCCCGGCATCTTGGGCGTTCACGCCGGCTTCCAGCCTGCCTACTACTTCGGAAACTTGGAACTCTAGCCCCCCGAACGGCCGCCGGTCCTGTTGGCAAACGCAAAGTTAGCACCGATAGAAGACATTACGCTACAACAATAAAAACTGGACGTACCAACTCCGGGTGTTCTTTGGCGCCAGGGCTGGGTTTGTTGGACTCCGTGTCTGAATTTGGTGCATCTCCCATGCTGCGTGGCGATTTTTTCGCAAATTTACGACTGAAACATAAAATTTGTAAACGTCACTTCAGTCCAATGTTTTGACGTTTGTTCGTGAAACCAAAGACAAAAACGAACAATGGAAATGGAGGTGGAGAACATGAGAACCAATACATAAAATACTACGCGCCACCAGTGGCCAAGCGGTGAAAAAAAGAACTAGAAATATATGTGCTCTAGCGGTGAAAAAAACAACTAGAAATATATGTGCGCCGTCTTGAAACCGTTTCCATATAAGATGGATGAAACAGAAGAGACAAAGCTGATGATGAACGTCCCCCCATCCCATGCGTCACGTCACATGTCTCCTCTGTGGAGCTTGCGTCAAATAAAGCTGCTTGTAATAAGAGCAAGATTCCACGCGAATAGAAAGTATTTTGTACAAAATATATAATTAAGTGAATAATAATAGAGGAATGTTAAAAACAAATAAAAATTACTGAAATAGGCATTACTCCTTCGTCCACGTAAAATATGTCCCATTTTCAATTACTTGCTGAATAAATATTCCCGCGGCGTATTTTTGAAACAGTTTCATCTTTTACTTAATTTAATCTAATCTAACCCCTCTAACCGCTCTTACACGTTCTACAATAGAACTTCTACTATACATACAGGGTGTTAGGGACGGCGTACCGAAAACTTTGTAGGCATGATCTGGGCCCCGAGTCCGCTAAATGAAAATCGTTTCAGTCGAGTCTCGATGGCATCTCAGTTGGATGGTTTCGGCCATTTCGTAGTCTGCTAACAGTTTTTAGTATGGAAAATCACAGTGGCAGTAGAATGACAGTTGATTCTCGCTGGCATTACAATGGCTAAAAATTAGCAGACTTGGGGCCCAGACCGTCAAACTGAACAACTTTTACTATAAAGCTAATGGTGGGAAACGAAATGAAAATTCCGACCTCCCATTCAAAATTCACAATCAGCTGACTGACTTTGTATGGGAGGTCGGTTTTTTTTTTCGTTTCCCACAAAGTTTTCGCTACACCGTCCCTAACACCCCGTATTATGCAATTCTTACTCGCCTCAGGGCACTCGGTTTGGTTTGACAAATCTTTGCCTCCAGATCTCTTTTATAGGTGAATTTATTATAATCTGTACTGCAGATTTTGTCTGTGGTTACTTACGTTCGGATACACATTTTCCCGAAAATGAATGAATGGTTTGAGTGATTTGAATGAACGGAATTCGAAAACGCAAGAATCCAAACCTGAAACTAATTCTTAAAAAAATAGTTTTGACGTTTGAATCAATAAACGATACGAAAAATATTTTAGAAAATTCTGTAAAATGTCTTTAGCTAAGATATTTTCAGTGACTGCCCGAGGTAAAGTACAAAAATGGGTTTCTTATATCACCAACACTTTCGTGCTACTTATTATCGTAGGTCTAAGTTACGCAACTTGTTTATAACCTATACCGCTTATTTATCAGCTGACTTTTCTATATTTGGCTCGTAAATGCGTACTAATCTGAGAAAATTCTGTCTTTATGCCTACTTCTAGTATGCCATCCAAGCCCCTACTTCATAACAACAGTCTAAATAGCAGTTTCCAGCTACTTGTTCAGAGTAGGTCTTTCACTGAGATTTCTTACTTTCAGTACGAGCTACGGGCGCCACACCGATCGTTATCCGTCATGCTCAGTACAGCACGCCCTCAGAGAACAAAATGGAGCCATACCCTCCGAAAACCGTAGACAAAGGCTACATGTATGTGAATGCTGACGACCCTAACATGACTATGAGATCTATGTCCGACAGAGCTGCACAGACCTTGTTCTGGACAGAATTAGCCAGAGGATTCGCCGTCACATTAGCCCATATTTTCAAGGTTTGTTTATTTCCAATTTAGTGTTTACATTCTTGTGAATAATCTGATATCCCCAAATGTGGCTAAGAAGTCAAAACAAAATTAAGAGAATGCCACACTCAAATTGGCAAAAGCAAGCAACCTCAGCATTGAAAGTCTGATGGACAAAAACTGTGTCATAGGTTAGCAGTCTGTAAAAGATCATAGTAACCGGGACTGATGGCTTAATGTGCCTTGTGTAGCACGGAGCCGGAACCATCTTGCTTTTTCTGACAATCAGCCTGCAAATATCGTAACCAGACTGAGAACTTATTCACAAAGTGATAAATATCAACATTGTGAGTGACCCACCTGGAATTGATCCTGGAACCTTCTGACTGAGTTGCAAGCAGTTGCACTACCACTGTACTATATCTAGCTGTCACTATGACATGTAATATAGAGTCATGTAGAAAAAGTGCTATTAGTTTTTAGATGGTGAATATTATTTTTAAGATGCAAAAACTCCAAGTTTAAAAACTAAATTCATAAAACAAACTATGGATTTTAACTTTGGTATGGTTTTTACTTTTGTCCAGAAAACTTCAAGTAAACTTAAGCAACTTTTTATGCAGTAAACATGGGACGCAACAAGAGAAACAAATAGGTGAACTTAACTTTTGTGATCATAATTCTAACACACCTTTGAACTTCTATTTCAGGAACCAGCTACTATCAACTACCCATTTGAGAAGGCCCCTCTGTCACCGCGGTTCCGTGGGGAGCACGCACTCCGCAGGTACCCATCTGGGGAGGAACGGTGCATCGCTTGCAAACTGTGTGAGGCTATCTGCCCTGCTCAGGTAGGAATTTTGATCATTTGTTAGGTAAAACTGCTCTGACCTGTACTACTTTACTTTGTCAGGGAATTATTTTTGTTAAGCCTTAGCTAGTACCTAACCCAAACTACTGGCTGTGTGGTTCTTGTTCATGTTCTTTGCTGCTCCAACAATTATTGATGTCTGTCTGGTTAAGTAGACAAGACTGAAATTGAAAGTAGATTTCCTAAGTCAGGCACAGATCTACATACATAAAATCTTGTTGCAAGACAATGTTTTTTGACTTCTTAATAAGGTCAGTGCAGTAGTCCTGAGGATCAGCCTGGTGGTGTGAAGACATCACCCACCAAGTAGACAGAATCTCTTAATATGAGATTAGCACTGTGACAATTGGTGCAATAGAGAAGAGGCCTATACCTTGCAGTGGGTGGATGTCGAGGGATGTTGTTTGATGATTGTTTCAGTTGTGTGTCAATATGGCATGTCGGTCGGATGGTTTTGGTAGTTTCTTATTCTGCTAACAGTTTTTTGTATGGAAAAATTCACAGTGGAAATAAAATGAACAGTGTCGCTGGCATTGCAATGGCTAATCAAATCCCAAAACCCTCCTTTTTGCGTTGCTGTAGTCTGGTAAAAATGAGCAGACTTGGGCCCCTGATGATTATGACGATGATGAATGGCTTCTTGACTGACATGTAATCTGTTCGTTTCCAGGCCATCACGATTGAAGCGGAGGAGCGCGCGGACGGGTCGCGGCGAACCACCCGCTACGACATCGACATGACCAAGTGCATCTACTGCGGTTTCTGCCAGGTGAGCATTTTGATTTTTATGTAAAAGTTTTTACCTTGTGATGCCCGTAGAAAGGGGGTGATGCTTTAAAGGCACCTGTGTCCCATTTGTAACTTTAGACGAGACCGCCGACACCTGTCCCTATATCACGACTCATTCAGCGTCGACGTCATTCACTACTTTCAATGCTGAGGTTGCTTGCTTTTGCCAATCTGTCACTATTACAGTTAGTAATGGGTTGATTTATCCAAGGTAATAGGGAGTTAGTGTCTTCGACTTTGCACATCGAAATTAGGAAGTTGAAAATCAGCATGAATGTAGGTACTTCTTGATCTATTGAACAAAACTGGGGGTGGTGAAATTCAAAGGTTGGTGCCAGCTTTCAACTTGAACCAATTTTATCTCATACGTCATGATGACCATATCAAGAACATAAACACAAATCTTATGTGTCCTTCTGTGCTTTGGATCACTAGGTGCTGTCAATGATTACTTAGACGGCGGTCATTACACAACCATGTCAGGGGACTTGTAGTAGTTGGTTGAAGAGCTCTTGACACCAGGGTTCATCAGGTCGTTAGACGACTCCACTTCAAAACAAGAATATTTGCTCTTAAATACGCCACTAGTGATCGTTCTGTAGCGACACATTTGCTGACATTGCAGACTATGCAATGCGAGCGGGCTGCGTCCCGCGCCTCGCCAGTCTTCCCGTAACCGCGTGTCGCGATTGTACTGTACCACTGCTATTTCGCTGTTAGCATACCTCATTAGTTTGTGCAAATTTTATGTATGTGAACTTATGTGAACTGTTGGTGTTTTCATACTCACTGTCAATCGTGTGTGAATAAACTTTGAGTGTCATTTACTGGATTTCGGACGTTTAATTTCATGCACTAAAAACAATACCTTCTGATATTAGAGTCAAAAATAAATAGATAGAGTGAAACCTCACACAACTCCGTGGGAGACAATACATACCACAGCACACTTTCTATCAGGACTTTATCTTTCTACTAAAGCACTTACCTTACCGCTTGGAGTATTTCAACAGTGGTGACGCCGCCGACTAGGAGTGAGAAGAAATTGAACGTACTTACCTTTGTTCCCGGGAAGACTCACTGTGCAGTACAATCGCCACAACAGGTCAACTTCGGAGCGACTGTTGTGAAAATTTTCAAGGCTCCGTTTAAGGTCAGACCACACAATGGCTGGTGATGACGATAATGACAATAATGGAGGCGGTGATGAGAGGACGCACGAAAATGTCAACTCCATATCTATTCACGCCAGAGTTCCAGAATTTTGGACAGACCTCCCAAAGCATTGGTTTTCCAGGCAGAAGCAATTTTGGCACCGCAAAGATGGACGGATGAACAAAAATTCCAATTTATAGTTGGAAAATTGGGAAAGGATGTTATCCAGCAGGTGACAGACATCCTGATTACTCCTCCAGCTACAGGAAAATTTGACGCTTTAAAAAACAGACTTTTGGAAGTTTATGAAGAATCAGAAAGTCGGAAAATACAAAAACTGATGGGAGAAATGGATTTGGGAGACCAGCGACCATCTCAACTTCTTCGTAGAATGAAAGAACTAGCTAGAGACCGGATTGAAGACAAAACCTTAATGATTTTGTGGCAAAATCATTTACCAGTCTGGGTACGAGGCGTTTTGGCAGTTTCGGACATAAAGGATCTTAACAAACTAGCGCTGATGGCGGACAAGGTTATGGAGAACGCGCGACCCGTCCAGGTAGCAAGCGTAGATGAAACTCCAGGTATGTCATCTCCATCTACATCTAATATTATTGCCGAGATTAATAAATTGGGCGAGCGAATTAAGAATATTGAGCACTTTCAACGTCGGAGCGCTGAACGACGCAATGGACACCAAACTAGGTCACGTTCGCAGTCTAGGTCACGGCGACAATCCAGAGATCCGAGTCAAAATAGGAAGAATAATCCAAATTGGCTTTGTTTTACCATTTCCGTTACAATACTAAGGCACACAAGTGTGTCCAGCCTTGCAACTGGAAGAAGGAGCAGAATCCGGAAAACTAACGACGGTACAGTCAGCGACGGGTGGCTGTAATCCTACCATCAATCACCGTCTATGTGTTACTGACGTACTTACAGGTTTACGTTTTCTTCTGGATAGTGGTGCTAATGTGTCAGTGTTACCGCGTTGGGCAGTGCGTAATAGGCAGTGTAAAAGTGATGAGTATAATCTATACGCCGCTAACGGTACACCCATTAGGACATACGGTTTAAAATCAATGACCCTGGACTTAAAGCTCAGGAGAGCATTTCAGTGGAACTTTATCGTTGCCGACGTGAATCAGCCGATAATTGGTGCCGATTTTCTGAGTAAATATAAGCTAATGATTGATTTTGATTCCAGGAGATTGGTGGACAAGATAACAAATCTTAATGTGATTGCCGGTATTAAAAAATGTACAGAAGGGTCAATTAAAACAGTAGATGGTAACCATCCATATTACGATTTGTTATCTCAGTACCCAGAACTTACTAAACCTGTATCTTTCAAGGATGTACCTAAACACAATGTATGTCATTTTATTGAGACTGAAGGACCTCCAGTCCGTTCTCGTGCTAGACCTTTACCTCCTGATAGGTATAATAAAGCCAAAGAGGAATTTCGAATCATGTGTGAGATGGGGATTTGTAGGCCAAGCAAAGTGCGTGGGCAAGTCCTTTGCACATTGTTCCTAAAAAAATGGGCAAATAAGACCTTGTGGTGATTATAGACGATTGAATTCCTTACCAAGCCCGATAGATATCCAGTACCGAGGTTACGTGATTTTACATATGTTCTCGCGAACAAGAAAATATTTTCTCGCTTAGATATCAATAGAGCTTATAATTGCATTCCGGTTAATGAAAGTGATATCGAAAAAACAGCTGTGATTACACCTTTTGGACTATTTGAGTTTCCGCGTATGCCATTTGGGTTGAGAAACGCTGCTCAAACTTTCCAAAGATTCATGTGTCACAGTGTTTTTCCTGATCTAGATTTTCTATTCATTTTTATAGACGATATTATCATAGCATCTGATGACATCACTCAACATAGAATGCACCTGAAGGAAGTTTTCGACAGGCTCGACAGGTTTGGTATTACTATTAATATCTCAAAATGCATTTTTGAACAGGAGAAGCTCGATTTCCTAGGTCATGAAGTCACTACTGAGGAATACGGCCACTGGAGGAGAAAGTACAGGCAATCATCGATTTTCCGCGGCCGACTACAGTAGAGCAACTTCGAAGATTTTTAGGTATGTTGAATTTTTATAGACCTCACATTCCTAGGGCTGCTGAAATTCAATCGGAATTGGACAGGTATTTACATAACACAAAAAAACGGGACAAGACTGCAATTATTTGGACAGAAAAGGCTATTTCACAATTTGAACTGTGTAAGCAAAAATTGAAACAGGCTGCCATGTTAGCCTACCCTGACACTAACGTTGAATTAGCGTTAATGACTGATGCTTCCGATATTTGCGTAGGGGGTGTACTACAGCAAAAAGACGGAGATAGTTGGAAACCGTTAGGGTATTTTTCAAAAAAGTTGACCGATGCTCAAAAGAAATATAGTACTTACGATAGAGAGCTGTTAGCTATATATATGGCAATTGCTCACTTTCGTCATATGGTAGAAGGTCGGGAATTGGTTGTCTATACTGATCACAAACCTCTTATTTTCGCTTTTAGTAAAATGGGAAGTGAAAAAGAGTTACCGAGAAGAGCTAGGCAAATCATGTTCATAAGTGAATTTACCA